TATATATATATATATATATATATATATATATATATATATATATATATATATATATATATATATATATATATATATATATATATATATACATATATAATACAGTTATGCTGTTTTCGAAACATTTTCACTATGGTTTAAGGAATTAGAAGAAGCGGAACTTCGCAATTTATGCCTTAAAGAGCTGAGTGGTATGTCTAAAAAGAATATATATACTATTTTGAAAGGTTAGCTCTACTTTTGTTGATCTTTTTCGTAGATTTTTGCAAAGTCGATAGACTTGTCATTGTTTATATTTGCTTTTGCTGTCAGTGTACAGTTATTGATCTTGGATTATTTACTTGTAAGTAGCAAGTTCACTTCAGTATTTTTCAATTCACTTCCTTGCACATAATTGTAAGGAAGTGAATTGAAAAATTCAATTTGATTAAATATATAAAAGAGGAAAATATTAATATTATAGTATTATTGTTAGGAGGAAAGTATTAACATTAGTATTCAATGTGTTTTCTTTTTTTGTTGCAAGTATTATATTTAGGGAGGGATTTACGGAAAGCAGTGAATCTGAAGGAGAGAAGAACGAGGCACTTATCAATGCCGGTATTAAAGTATGTTCATTTTAAAAGTATGTTTTGATCGCCTGCAGTTTACTTTCTTTCTTGATTTTGATATTTTAAGCATCGAAAACCGAAATTGCCGTTGCCGATTCTACAACAGAAATGACTGCACCAAATTTACCTTGGTAGGCATAATTCCAAATGTCAACTATTATTTGATCCTAATTTCGAATTAGTGGTGAGAAGTGCAATATAGATGTTAACTAATCACAAACATATAATCATTGTGAAATCATATTTCGATCAAAAAAAAAGAAGAAAGAGGTAACAAGATTGCTTTTCGGTGATATTGTACCGTATTGATTTTTTGAGCTTAACCGAATTCGTGAATTACGTTGCATTTTCAGTATTTTTCACTCAATCGGTACAGGTGATGCCATTACCTGCAGCAGTGTCGTGAGCACTTCAGAAGCCCAATGTACTGCAGTTGAAAACATTTCTTCAACCAGGATACGTCAAGAAACTGGAACTGCTGTCCAGTTCGACTTCACTATGGAAGATAGAATTTTACTTTCATCAAATCAGCATGCAGAAATATTTGCTAGCAAAGATGTGTCAGATCTTAATGATCAGGTGTTTGATGAGTTACGAAGTCACCTGTTGTCAGGAATCACACTGAGAATTGCGTACTTCTTTTAAAGGGAGCTTATCAAGGATTTCTTGTTAACAAACTTAAACAAAATATAATTTGATTATGATGTTTTCGTAACAATTTGAAGGCGGTTGCAACCATAACACCAGAGAATGATGATGACTTGGAAGATGGCGAGGTTGTGAGTGATCAAGGAAAGAGTTCAAATTCAAGCAAGGATGATACGTTAAACAAGGTTTCTGTATGCTTAAGTTTTGGTGAATTTGTGCAAGTAAATAGTCATCTGTTGAGTGGGAAAGTTAGGGTTGTTGCTTGCATAGTGTGGTGGTTAAAATTCTGGAAGTATGATGTTAAGGGTTTGATTCCGAAGCACTTTCAAGGGCGAGCAATTGTGTCCGAACGGTTGGTCGCTAATGTAGGTGCTAAATTGTAGCAAAGTTGTGTTACTTGTATGGGGCACTTTCACTTTACCCATACGAGTGTCAAAAACTTCCAACAGAAATGAAGTGCAAATAGCTGCATGAACTGCCATGCCTTTACTGGCAACCAGATCTTCCCACCCAATTTTGAAGTAGGTTTCCAATATTATGACTAATAGTGTTCCACTCACTATATATCATAGACTGGATTTGTGCCCCTTTACATGAAAGCGATAGATAAAGGTTCAGATTCTGCTCACTCTAATTACTGTAGTTACAGGATAATTTTCCAGCGTGTTTTATAACGTACGGAACAAAAATATAAAGTAGGATTTAGTTATATCTTCATTATACAGTAGTCAGTACTATGATACACTATAGCAGGAAAATAACATGATATCCTTGCTGATCATTTCTCTAGTGCTTTAATATGCAATAACAGAGGACAACCGTGTTTCTGACTGATTTCTGTGTTTGGTCGA